CAGCCATGAAAACCTTCAACAAGAATGTATGTTGTTGTTTTAAAAATTGATTACTGGCTAAACAGTTGTGAACTTGACATTTGTTTGGTCGTGTCTTGTTCCAGCATTCCCCTTATAGCAGCAATTGCTGGACTCCCAACTTCTGTCATCCTCACAATTGACCAGCCCACTACTACTATGACTATTATTTTATTTATTTGTTCCCTGCTTTTCTCCCAGGACTGGGAGCATAGCACAACCTTTAAAGCATATAGTTTAAAAACCAACACAAGATGACTTAGAATAGAATTAAATATATGCTAGCTAGGACGATGGGATTTTTAGTTGGACATCCAGAAGACTAATTTTTTAATCAAGCATAAATGTTATTGATGTTTGCACCCTTTTGTTTGAAGCTAGGGGAAATTACATTTACTGGAACATTTGCTGTGGCATTCTAGGGGTTTTAGGTAAAAAGAAAGTACTTCAGAGATTTGCATTTGCTGAATTTGGTCTGAATTATTGCTACTCTTTTCCCAGAAATATTACTGTAACTATTTGTGAACTTTCAATTTTTGTTTTTGTTTTAGTCATTGAGTACTGTGATGCCTTCAATATCTCCAAATATATATCAGTATTTCGTACAGTAGACATTTCATCTTCATAAGAAACCCTAGTGTATCTACCTTTACATCAACAATTACTATTTATCTGTGCATTCTAACTGTCCTGCATCTTATCTGACTTCAGTGTGCAAGTATGTGGCTTTAGAACTGAAGTCCTCTTTTGATGAAACTGGCAAGACCAAGGAGGTGATCGACACAAAATATGGCTTTTTGGATGGCAAGCAATCCAAAATCAAGTACACAAAATCGTAAGTGACTACAAGGTAGACAAAGTGTGGGAATTAATCATTCTTTATTTTGAACCTCTGCTGTAGATCGTCCAATGAAGCATAAAATGCATTGTGCATGCTTCCAAACCTCCTCTGACTTGTCCATCAGACAAAGATGTTAAAAATCATATGGGAGAAAAATGGTGATCACGTTAGAGTCACAATCCTTCTGTCTGAGATGTTGTCAGTTAAGATTTTAGTGAGAAATTTCAAAGCAGACCAAGGTTACTCTCCTTAGTGGCCATGTGAAAGAAACAAAGAGCAATTAGAGCAAGTAATACAATTTCACTTCAGTAGCAAGAGTAGCACTAAGTAGC